ATTTTCTGATACGACTGTTTTTTTCTGCTGTGTTTTATACCTGAGTATATTTTTTTCTTTCTTTGTGCTGTGAAACAACTCACGTATGGCTGGACAGAGAGAGAAAATAGTGACAGTCGACAGTATCATCTCTGACGACTGACTGCGCATATTTTGTCTTTTTGAAAATTTAGACTTTTTTTTTTTACATAATTTTTAGTCTCTATTCAGATTTTTTCTCTTAATTCAGCAACAATATTTGGGTATATATATGTTAAGTTTGATAGGGGAAAATAATTACAGGTACAGATTGGTAATAGTGTTAAATTTAGTACCGGCTGGCTTAGTAGTAGCTACTACTACTACTACTACTACTACTACTAATAATAATAATAATAATAATAATAATAAACACATAATAATAAATAATAATAATAATAACAACAATTTCCAGGACATTTTTTTTGGTCGGTGTTAGAGTGAAGAAAAAGGCTTAATGTACCAGCGGCGTCAGTAATTATAACTTGATGAGGTTTTCATTGACTCGCATGAATCGTGGAGAAGTGAGAACAATAGGAAGATCGTGATGGTGGTGATACGAGTGTCGGTGGGAGCCGCTAAGGAGGGAGTGAGAGGCCGGAAGGAGGGCGTGGGAGGCTGGGAGGAGGGAAGAAGAGGCATGGAGGAGGAAGTCAAAGGCATAAAGAAGGGAGGGAAGGAGAGAGACAGTGAAGGAGAACGGAGGGAAGCAGTGGAGGGAGGGAGGGAGAAATGCAGATGAGAAGGAAGAGAGTCAGGGGAGGATGGAATCATGGGAGTAGGGCGGAAGGGAGAAGGAAGACGGGAGGTGGGAGAAGAATGAAGCAGGTAGAAGGGGGGTGAGAGACAGAGAAGGTGGGGAAAGGGGGAGAGGCATTAGATAAGGTAGGGGGAAAGACAAGGGAGATGAGGAGAGCAGAAGGTAGGGGAGGTAAGAGAGATGAAGGAGGAGAGGATAAGGAAGATGAAGGAGGAGGTGTGGAGGCATGTGGGTTACATTCCTGTGGTGTAGGCTGGCAGGTTGACCCGTAGTGGCCTGGTTACCTTCCCTCTCCTCCAACTCTATCTCACCATCTCCCTCTTTTATCCCACTATCTCCCTCCTTTATCTCACCATCTCCCTATCACCACCTCCACCACTATCTCCTACACCCCCCTCTCACTATCTCATGCTTATTTCTATTCACTTGCGTAATATAGCCTTTGTATAGCCCATTTCTATATAACCAATGGATAATTAATGTATATTTTTATTTACTGATATTTTGTTTATATAATTTGGTATATGTTAAATATAATGTGAGATATAAATCACCAGTAAGAGCGAGAGACATGTGGATTCATTCTTCCAAGTTGTATCTTGACTCAGGTAGAAGTAATTTTGTCACACGTCTGAAGTTGTGCTCGTGAGGGATGTTACAAAAACTCTGCTGGTGGATTTTTAGGTTTGTTTTCACGTTTTTGTATGTTACGTAAAGTTAGCATTATCGTTTCCGTTGTTTGTGGGTTCAGAAGGACATTGTACAGGGGTGTTCCGTTGGTTTGATCACCACATAAAACCCCCCTTCACCATTGTAACAAGAGATTTTGACACCCAGGTCAAGCTACAGTGTCCAGGTTCATTCATATCTTCATAACTATAGCCTTAAAGGTTAGGTTAGGTCAGGTCAGGTCAGGTCAGGTTAGGTTAGGTTAGGTTAGGTTAGGTTAGATTAGATTAGATTAGATTAGATTAGATTAGGTTTGGTTTGGTTAAGTGATTTGGTCAAGCACGTGAAAGATTATATACTCTGATTATTTCCTCATCTCTGGTACTTCGCTGCGGGACGCCTCTGACGAAAAGACAAGTTTGATTTGGAATGTTAATATATTCATTGACCGACCAAAACAGGTTGGTTTGTGTTGACAAGGAAGACTATAGAAGGATAACACGAGCAAGGCATACAGTCGTAAGCTTTACAATAAGAATACAGTATATACATACATACATACATACATACATACATACATACATACATACATACATACATACATACATACATACCAGGGCATAATACCAAAAATCTGTATACATTAACATACGAACACAATTATACTTGCTTGCACTTCCTCCTCCCTTCACATGTAAATAAGAATCAGATTATGAAAATGAGAGAGAGAGAGAGGATGAATAGATAGAGAAAGGAAGGAAGGAAGGAAGGAAGAGAGAGAGAGAGCAGATGGTGAGGGATTGAGGTAGGAGAAGGACAGGTAAAGTGGGTATCGGTGTAGGATAGCGAGGTGCTGTAATGAGGACTGTGTCAGGTGTGCTCGGAATGCTGACTGGAATTCCCGATGAGTAACGGTGGCGATATTGACAAATGATAGGCCGGTGTGGGTCCAGAACTCCTCAGGCCAAGGTAGGTAGTGGGTGGGATTCTTGGGGTAGGTGGTGGTAGTGGGTGGGATTCTTGGGGTAGGTGGTGGTAGTGGGTGGGATTAACTTGGGGTGGAGTGGTGGTAGTGGGTGGGATTCTTGGGAATTGGGTGGTGAGCTTCGGTGGGTGGGATTCTTGGGGTAGGTGGTGGTGAGTGGGTGGGATTCTTGGGGTGGGTGGTGGTGGTGGGTGGGATTCTTGGGTGGAGTGGTGGTAGTGGGTGGGATTCTTGGGGGTGGAGTGGTGGTAGTGGGGTGGGATTCTTCCGGTGGAGTGGTGGTAGAATTGGGTGGGATTCTTGGGGTGGAGTGGTGGTGGTGGGTGGCATTCTTGGGGTGGTGGTGGTAGTGGGTGGGTTCTTGGGGTGGAGTGGTGGTGGTGGGTGGGATTCTTGGGGTGGGTGGTGTGGTAGTGGGTGGGTTCTTGGGGTAGATGGCGGTAGGTGGGTTAGGTTCTTGGGTAGGTGGTGGTAATTAGATTGGGATTATTGGGTGGGTGGTGGTAGTGCGTTAGGTTCTTGGGGTGAGTGGTGGTAGTGGTTGGGTTCTTGGGATGGATTCTGGTGGTGGGTGGATTCTTGGGGTAGGTGGTGGTAGTGGGTGGGATTCTTAGGGTGGAATTAATTGGTAGTGGGTGGGATTCTTGGGGTGGGTGGTGTTGGTAGTGGTTGGGATTATTGGGGTGGGTGAATGGTATTAGGTGGGATTCTTGGGGTAGGTGGTGGTGGGTGGGATTCTTGGGGTGGAGTTAATTGGTAGTGGGTGGGATTCTTGGGATTGGGTGGTGGTAGTGGGTGGGATTCTTGGGGTGGGTGGTGGTAGTAGTGGGTGGGATTCATGGCAGGGGTAGGTGGGGTGGTAGTGGTTGGGATTATTGGAGTTGGAATTGATTGGTGGGTAGTGGGTGGGATTCTTGGGGTAGATGGTGGTAGTGGGTGGGATTCTTGGGGTAGGTGGTGGTAGTGGGTGGGATTCTTGGGGATAGATTCTGGTAGTGGGTGGGATTCTTTGGGTAGATGGTGGAAGTGGGTGGGATTCTTGGGGTAGATGGTGGTAGTGACCTCTTTCCATTTTCCCTCAATTTTTTCCATCCCCTTCTACTCATCTCCGTCTGCCTTCTTCATTGCCATACTTTCCTCCCCATCTCCTGTTTCACCACTTCAATCTCCCTATCCCTACCACTGCTTGTCCTTTTCTCCCCACCCTCTTCCCATTCCTCTTCACCCCCATCTCCGTTCCCCAGGTGGGCGCCCTCACACACCTTACTAATTGACAGCCGCGTAAGGCCCGGTAAAAGGTGTAGCCGCTGGAGAATCTCGGGAACTTAGTGCGGGGTGTTCTTATCGAAGGCATCACCGCTATCATTATCAGTTGCCGCTGTAACCCTAAAGCCATTGTTGTCCCTGCCTCCCATCACCGAGTTCCTGGCGCTCTTTTTATTTATTTTTAATCTATGTGTGTTTGTTGTGTGTGTGTTGTGTTATGTGTGCAGTTTAATTATATTAGGATAGTTATCCATATTTAATTTGAAATAGAAAATAAGATAACTTAATCCATATTTGGTAAGACTGTCATTTTCGTTTCGAGGCTCATTCGGTTGAATATCCCTATATAGCGTGTTTATATATATTTTGATGTCTGTGTACAGTACAGTCAGCAAAAAAACGTTCTGCACCCCTTGGTCTGATGGCCTCTGTAACGATCACTGACTGAGGCCAAGTTAATTTGGTAAGGTTGGTATTTCTGGTTGTGTGATGCATTGTATAACCAGTATGATGTATTTCTTATATCACATATAGTTAATACAGAGAAATTAACAGGAATCACCCACGTAAATGAGTGTTGTTCAGAATTCTTGGTCCGGTGTGTCATATTGTATAACATAAAGGTGCAGAAATTTTTTTTTTTGACTGTACGTTAATGTGTTGAGGGATATGTGAAGTGAGCACGGGGATGTACGGGTATACTTGCTAGTTGTCCATCATTATTAAACAATACACCTCGAGGGCAGGTAGTGTTGGTGAGTGCAGGCATGCGTGCTTGCATACCTGCTATCTTGCACTCGCTCTTGTTAACGCTTCAGTTATTCTGATGTGCCTGTTGGCCTGTTCTGACTGTGAAGTGCTGCCGATGTATGTATCTGTAGCGGCAGCTCTCCGTTCCATTGTACCAATTTACTGAATCATTTATATCCCGTACATTCTGCCCAAAATTCATCTACATATGTTCCCATATATGTACAGTATTATTCATTTCTCAATATCTACCGTAGTCTGTTCCCAGAATTGGCTTTATATTTTTCCCGGATTTGGGAAAGTTAGAATTACATCGATATCACATGAGTACGATATCACAGTGATGATATCTTGGAAAATGTTCAGGTCGAGGTGTGGCGCTGTTATAGCTCTTCTTAGGATTGTTTAAGTCATATCCAAATTTTTCTTATTATAATTTTTATTTTATTAGTATTGTAAAAGTTGAATATTTCAATTTCTTCAACGGTGTTTTTAATTAAGTTTATATTTTTGAGGCATTGTGTTAAATTCTTTTTGTCTTTCCCTCCATAGCTGGCGTGATCGACGGGCGTACAACAACTCTAGGGTAAGTTGAGTGACGTTTTCATTTCACCGTTTTACCTGCCCTGCCAGCCTCACCTTTCACCCGTGAAGGCCTTACCATGCCCCAATTCCCACTCTGTAAACCTGCTCTTGCAATGTCCATATCTCACTCCCTCTCCCTCCCTCCCTCCTGCCCTCTTTCCTCTTCCTTCTCATCCTGTTCCCTAGGTTAAATGGGCTCTTCCTTCGTCTCCTCTTACTCCATCTCCTCTTCCTCCCTCTCCTCTTCCTTGACTTTGAGTGACTGAGGTTTAGGTTATATTTCTTGACCTCAGTAATACAGTAACTATGTTAATTTGGGTTAGATATTGACCCAAGTACATTGTTGGATCGCTTTATGTGTAGTTAGGTTAGGTTTAGGTTTAGGGAGGTTTGTTTTATGTTATTTAAATGTTTTATTCCGCCTGACCTTAGAGGGATTCTGGTCATCACATTAATAAGAAAGACAAATGTTATGGAGTTTTAAATTTATTGCTGTAAATGACCAAAGTAATGTGTTGTGTACAAAATACAAATAAACATTAGAAAATATTGATTATTATAGGGAACAAAAGATGTAAAATAAATTGTAGTTATAGATGTGAAACAAGAAAAAAGTTATAAAATAAACACTGAAATAAATCGTGTTGTTGTTGGTGCCCAAAAGACTGGGCCCCAAGTGTCCTCAATCAACACCAAGAGGCCAAAGAACCCAAACCATCAACAAAACAACCAGACCTTAAATAATGAACCTCAGGGGGTACAAATGTGATAAGATTGTCAGTCCTATTCACTAGTGTGTTTACAGGGGTTCGTCATGTAAACATCCCACAAATCATTATCATTGGTGTATTTGTTTTAATATTGTTTTAATCTGATTCCATAATATGTTTGCTATTGCGAGTTTACTTCTGTCGAATGTAAACAAACACAGGGCTGCCACACTGCACAAAACCTAACGACCCCCCAGTAAACGCCCTAGTGAAGGGGACTGTATCTTCGGGTGACCACTGACTACTGTACGACCACCATCCAAAAGGTGAAGTCACCCGCCAGGTATGAAAGTGAATCAGGAAGATGATAGTGAACCAAGGGTGCTGGGAGTGAACCAGTAAGGATGGAAGTGAATCAGCGAGGGTGGGAGTAAACCAGCGAGGATGGGAGTGAACCAAGGGTGCTGGGAGTGAACCAGTAAGGATGGAAGTGAATCAGTGAGGGTGGGAGTAAACCAGCTAGGATGGGAGTGAACCAAGGATGCTGGGAGTGAACCAGTAAGGATAGAAGTGAATCAGTGAGGGTGGGAGTAAACCAGCTAGGATGGGAGTGAACCAAGGGTGCTGGGAGTGAACCAGTAAGGATGGAAGTGAATCAGTGAGGGTGGGAGTAAACCAGCTAGGATGGGAGTGAACCAAGGATGCTGGGAGTGAACCAGTAAGGATAGAAGTGAATCAGTGAGGGTGGGAGTAAACCAGCTAGGATGGGAGTGAACCAAGGATGCTGGGAGTGAACCAGTAAGGATAGAAGTGAATCAGTGAGGATGGGAGTGAACCAGCTAGGATGGGAGTGAATCATTTTTTTCTAAGATAATAAGTGTAAAATGAAGGTGTGGCTTTGTTGGAGGGAGTGGGAAAGAAATTACAAAACCAAATCTTCAATCAAAGGCTGTTGTAGTTCACGTGTAATTTTTCCCTTCATTATCCTTAAAAAAAGCAAGAAAGATCCTGCTGCTTTTTCTCGTCAGTATATCACAGCGACGCAGACAAAGCAAAGAAAAATTCCTCCGCGTGATAAACCTCCATTTTTCTGATTATTTTTTCCTTTACATAGTTAGTGGAGAGAGACCCTCTAATGTAGGGCTGTGGTAACTAGGTCAGGTCAGGTCAGGTCAGGTCAGTAAATTTAGGAGAACTAGGTAAATTGATACATCAGAAACGACCTAACCATTATAGTTTTAGTCTTATAGTGATGATATCTCCCAACAGTTGTCAGAAATATCCTGTAATCGTCGGAATCTCCTGGTTTCATCCTTGTTAAGAATTCCACATTTTATTTTGACATGTTTTAGTGATGTGTCAGAGGGGTGTCAGCTGGCAAGGTGATGATGGAAGGGTGTCAGCTGGAGTAAGATGGGGTAGGAAGAATGTCAGGTGGGGTGGGTTTAGGTGTGTCAGCTGGAGTCGGTTTGGTTGGGGGCGGTGTCAGGTGGGGTTAGATGGGTGTCAGCTCAGCTGGAGCAAGGTGGGATTGGAGGGATGTGAGGTGGAGTCGGCTTAAGTAAGGTGTCAGAGTGTGTCAGTTGGAGTAAGGTGGGGTCAGAGGTGTCAACTGGACTTAAGTGGGGTCAGAGGTGTCAGCTGGACTAAGGTGGGATCAGATGGGTGTCAGCTGGAGTAAGGTGGGGTCAGAGAGGTGTCAGCTAGAGTAAGGTGGGATCAGATGGATGTCAGCTGGACACAGGTGTGGTTGGGGTTGTCAGGTGGGGTCGGAGAGATGTCAACAAGAGTCAGGAGGGGTCAAATGGGGAGTCAGATGGGGTCGGGATTGTCAGGTATGGTAAGAGAGGTGTCAGGTGGGGTTGGGGTTGTCAGTTGGGGGTCAAAGGTGTGTCAGCCGTAGTCAAGTGGGGTCAAAGAAGTGTCAGTTTGGAGTCAGGGGAATCGAGGTTGTCAGGTGGGGTTAGAGAGGTATCAGCTGGAGTCAAACGTGTCAGGTGGGGTCAGAGAGGCGTCAGCTGGAGTCAAACGTGTCAGGTGTGGTAAGAGAGGTGTCAGCTAGTAAAGCCTAAATGAAAGAAAATGGTTATAGTACAGTATATCACCTAGCAATATCTAGCAAAACAAATTGGATTTATTAGATAGAATTAACTTCCCGAAACTATAACTACATACACATTTCTTAACTGCTGCTATAACTTTACTCATCAGGAATGTGAGGAGCGCTGAAGTCATGGAGTCTCAACAACGCCCATACACCATCGGGGGCGTCAAACTGATGTTCCCCGTCAAACCTTACCCATCCCAGATGGCCTTGATGTCACAGGTGAGTACTGACAGAAGGGTCGTGTCACATTCTGGTAGATCACTCCTTCGGTAGTTGCATGCAGGGTGCAGGGGAGGACGCGAAGGTGGAGCACAAGGTAGTGGAGTCAGAGTGAGAAAAGATTATGACTTGGGGGGGGGGGGAAGTTTGATTACAGTAATGTGGATTTCATTAGGTTTCTGGGAGACAAGTAGAAAAAGGACATCTTGACATCATTCATTTAGATGATTATAGAAATTTACACTGGTTTGAGAAGTAACCTATGATTATGTAGTTGAAGGATTACATGGTTCAGGGGCAGATATTCGCTGGAATTTAAAAGCCCAGACTGTATCCTGGACAGGTCAGTGATGGGTAAGGAGTTTTCGTCAAAATTGTTTCCTTCATTGTATAGCATATGGATGAATCCGACCTAAGTGCTGAGAATGTTAGTCTCTCTACCATGCAGGGGTATGTTGGTCTCACCTGATGACAAATTTTGCTGTGCAGAGGAATAAATACAAATCTTCCTGGTGATGTACTGTATTATGCTTTTCTCCATTGTCCTGTCATACAAAAGTTAAAAATACATATTAATGTTTTTTGAGAGTTTTTGTGTTATATCTATTGTGTGTAAATGTGAATGTAGTTGAGGGTAATAGTAAATGAAATGATAGGATCAGTCACAACCAAGCAAAGGACACACAGTATAGAAATGTGACATTGGTGGCCGAGCAGACTTCATTGCTGCCTTGGGATGTGGATGTCAATTGAGCTCTAGTTAAACCTCACAAGGAAGTAGTAGTAGTAGTAGTAATCATGCTAGCTATTGGGGGAGGCTGGAGGCCACATTTAAAAAGAAAACCGGAAAAAAAAGATCATGCTAGCCATAGTCAGTGATGTAGGACTGAGGTTACAATATACTTCCTATACTGTACAGTGCATACTGTATCTTTAGAGAACAAAAGTCTTCACTTTCAGACTCTCCCTGTTACTCTCATATAGTGTAGCTACTGTAAACTAACTAACCAATAGATTTGACCCTTAATTTACCTTTTCTTCAGATTGATAATTGTTCCTGTAAAGTGTTACTGTGATTTATATAGTGCTAACTGTATTTCGAGGTTACCAACCCTTTACCTTAAGTAGTAACCATTTCTCCAAAATGAGAATCTTTGGTTTAGAATATTTACCCTTTCTCGTATTTTAAATTTTCCTCTAATAATGGGTTCCCTGCTTGGGTGTAAAGTTGCTAACCCTCTCTTTAAGTATTTTCAGTGAATACCCAAATCAACCAAGAAGGCATGAGTACCACCACCATCATCCTCAGGAGCCTTCCAGTGTAATGCCTCAATGGTAGACCCAAACCCTCAAATGGTTGACCCTATGGAGTTCCTGGTAGACCTTAGACCTCAATCCTATGTGACTCCCATGCACTGATATGGTTGTGGTCTGCTTTAATCCCTGACTGTCTCCCTCCTATTAATAGTTTATTAGTTACACTAACCTTGGCTTTACTGTGCCCTAGAAAAAACATTTTAACCATTAACGCCTACTGCAGATTTTACCCTTATTAACTGTTAAGATAGCTGGAATGGATGAAAATTACAGAATAATGAGGAAGGAAGGTGTGATATCCTCGTGCAGATATCACTGTCGATAAAAGAACAAGTAATAATGTATGAGGTACTGTAGAATGTACAGAGGTAGCTAAGTACAGGTATGCATTTAATATGCACATTTCCCAGTCAATAAAGAAAACCCAGATAGCTTTTGGATCAGATAAAAAGAATTTCCAAAGCTTCCACAGATATGGTAAAATTAAACTGAATGCAAATGTAGGAAATGAGAGCAATGTGAAAATTGTGGGAAGTTAGGCGCGTACGGACCGATTTGCAAATGGAAATTTTTTGATTGATGTTTGTGCAAATGGAAATTTTTTCCTTACAATTTTTATTTTGTATTTTTTTTTAATATGCATACTGTATACAGGTAGATGTTCTTGGAGGAAGGGATGTGATACAAAATTCATGATTGGTTATGTAGTACTTTGCTGTACTGTACTAGGTAAGGGGACTAGAAAGCACATGAAGGATACAAAGTAATGTAGTGAGTGATGACAGGATTAGATTACCACCTGATGTTTGCAGAACTTAAAAAAGAGAATTTAGTGGGTCTACAGGCCAATGTTTTGAACTGGTTTTTGTTTTACAAGTAACTGAATATTAAATTGGAATAACATCATTGTATTGTCCATATAGTACCGTACCGTACTGTACATCCATATAGCTTACAGAATCTGATAATTGCATAAATGACTGCAGTTAATAAATTCTATAAAGTATATGTGTATACTCTACTGTATTTGTGAAGCCCAGATGTACTGTATATTGATTTACTCAACAATAGTAAGGCAACACATGTGATACATTTGTCAGAAGATAATATATGTTAATATGCTAAGTTTTTACTAGATTAATACTATATGTTTTGTGGATACCTCAGTGTTACATAACATGGTTTGATATTTTACTATTTCCACAGATTATGCAGGGACTCAAAAGACGCCAGAACTGCCTGCTAGAATCCCCAACAGGATCGGGAAAATCTCTCGCCCTTTTGTGCTCAACGCTGGCATGGCAACGAGCTGAAACAGGTAGGGTATACACTGCAGTAATTATGTTAAATAATCTTTTCTTGGAGTTGCATCCTGATTGTTATCTTACGTATGTTCTGGAAGACAAGTGTCAGTATACTGTGCAAGTGTTAAAAGAGTTTAACAATTTTACTGGACATCTAGATATGCCTGATGCTTGTTCAGTCATCTCTTGAAAGGTTATGTCATATGTGTGGCATCTAGGTAGACCTTTATGTGATTGGTTAATTCTCACCCCGTTTGTGTACAGGTATATTCTATGAGCACCGTAACACCTTGTTTTTTGGGGACGTCATAACTACCGTATGTTGTTTGTAATTTCTTTGAACATGAGTCAGGAATTAACCGGTACACCCAGGTCTTCTCTGTTCTTTTTAGTTTGATTTTTTTCTTCTTAATTTTCTCACAAGATTATACGCTCTTTATTATTTGTATGATAAGGTACAGTATAAGTTATTTGTTGAATTCTCAATGGTTTTCTACTGGTTTCCCTCTTTGTCCATAAGTTTTTAATGATTTTCCTCCAGATCCTCTTTCTTTGTCAAATTTGGGTCCTGCCTTCTCTATCAAATATTTGGTATAAATTAGAAGCTGCAAGCAATAAACATGATCCAGTTCACCCACCCAGGGAATCTGTGTAAATCTGGTAATTGTCTGAGTCTGGTAGATGATCAGGTCACAGTCACTACCCTCTGGCATATTTACTCGTACCTCTCCAACCACTTGTGAAAATCATACTTCAGTCCTTAGTTTCCTGGTGACTGCTAGACTTTTAACACCTGTCAGCTGCAGCCCTGTGAACAGGCTTAGAAACATGGTGTGAATTTTCTTTACAAAAAAAAAAAAAAAAAAAAACTTTGAGACTGTGACTTTAAAAACCGGGTTACTGCTGCATGTGCAGTAAACATACATACACACACCAAAAAAAAAAACACACACACACACTTAAAAGCATGTTATGTTCGTAGGAAATTAAAGGTATTTATGCAGAAGAATAAAAATTAAAATATAAATCATTCACTTACATTTGTTTAGGTTTGATGGAGTGTTTTGGTGAGAGCGTGTGTGTGGGGGTGGGTGGGGTCCAGCTACTAGAAGGGAGGAGCTTGGGTGGCAGGGGGCAGACTGCCACTAATGGTGACAAACATAATGTGGGTAGTGTGAGGAGATCTAATGGGACACTTCATGCGCTTGATGAATTATGAAATTGGCACTCAGTTTAAAAGACATCACAGTTTAAGGGTTAATACTTGTACATAGAGGACAACTTCAGAGGAAAATTATTACTCCAAGCAACATCCATAGGTTTCACGTCAGATATTAATAAACGTTTTTTACACCAAAGAATCAATGAAGTGCAGTAAAACTTACTCAAAATTTAATTGTAAAATAGTCTTACATATTAAGCAGCTGACAGTTGTTTGAGTGTCTTTGATAAGTAGGGGAAGATGTGTCCAAAGTGTATAGTCTTTAAAAGGCAAGTTTTTTCTTTACTTCATTATTTTAATCCCTAATCACTATAAAGACTGTGATTGTAACAAAATGTTCTGAATTAAGAACATTATTTGTGTTATGATAATATATGATTACAAAGAAATGGGGCAAATTTGCTTAGCTCAAAAGCAATTTTCCCCAATGTTTATATATTTTTAGGTTTTACTGTATTCTTATTTATAGTGTGAAGTAATCAAACTTCAGAGACTCTGTTACTGTGTATTGTATAGGGAAGCAATATTTTAATGGCTTCTGGCATATCTTTTATCATGTATATTTTTTCAATATAATTTGAGTTTATATAACAATTATAACACTATTTATAAAATGTATGCAGTAAACAACAGGAAATAGAAAAACTACAGTACAATACAGTATGGGGTACTTTGCAATATTATATGGTGCACCTCGTATACTTATATGTTTGTTGTGGATATGGAATACTGTAACTGCGAATGATTCAGTTGCTTAACCAGACACGTAACATCGGCAATAGTCCGGCAAGTGTAATATGATCCAATAACAGGTTCTACCATAAATGGATAGCATGATTGGCATTTTGGCTTCCATTGTTCCCTGAGAACAAGGATTCTGGCAATCTGATTCATATCAGCTGGAAGATCTGTGACTCTTATAGTGTAGGTAGCAGGGCATGGATTGTTTACTCAAACTATTGATATACTTTTCTGACTGTTTTTCAAAAAATGGGGAATAAATAAATATATATATATATATATATATATATATATATATATATATATATATATATATATAATATAATATATATATATATATATATATATATATATATATATATATATATATATATATATATATATATATATATATATATATATATATATATATATATATATATAATATATATATATATATATATATATATATATATATATATATATATATATATATATATATATATATATATATATATATATATATATATATATATATATATATATATATATATATATTTATTTATTTTAACAACCAGAATTGTACAGTACTGTGTTTGGCAGTACATTTGTTAATTATCTGAAAACCTTGCATCAACTTTGAAAGGGTTGGGTGTCCAGAAATGATTCTTTGGTATTACAGTATGTATCTTTCAAGAAATCTTAGTTGATCTTACTCAAGTCTTTGTGTTTGTATTGTATTATATTATATTATAGTACAGGTATCTCTGTCAAGTCTTTGTGTACATATGTTTAAACTTTGTGTCCACAGCTAGTTTATCTTTTTTTGTTGGATAGAATTGGAATTAAGAAATCCTAATCTCCAGAACCAGAAAACAGCTTTATTTTATAATTGATTTTTGGATTTTTCTAAGGGTACAGCAATTGCTATCATATGTGAAAGTCAGTTCCATTTTAGCAGTCTTTGTATATACAATGAACCCTCACTTTACGCGGTTAATTCAACCCACAGGGTACCGCGGAAAGTGAGAACCGGGTAAAGTGAACAACATAACATATGGGATTAATTGAAATAGAGACCGGGCCGACCCCCGAAACTCCACTTTTTCAGACACAATACCTACGTTGTAGTAAAAATAACTTCTTAATTTTATGATGGTATGCACACACAATTAATAATTAAGAGAAATATCAATAATATTTGGTTTTTTAACACTTACATTAGTAGAAAAGATGGCTGGGCACACGGGGATGGGGGGTTGGTTCTGAGGCAGAGGGCAGATTATTGGCCCTCACCTGTATCACTTGTATCAATTGTATCACTGTCCACCACAGAGGCTTGCAGGGCCTCTTTGTCAAACCCCTCAAAGTCCATATAAGTCCATATCCTCACTATAATTATCACTATCACTGACTTGGGCCAGCTGTGGCGGGTGGCGGGTGAAGAACTCGGTAATGTTTTGATGACTAGGCGACCTTGTGCGCACCCTGCTCGCGCCGCTTATACGACATGGCGGGAGGTTTGGATCCAAAAATGGCGCGGCTCGCCAGCCGCTCTCCGCGTAAAGGGGTACATGCACTGCGGAATGTGAGCATTCCGGTTTCGGCAGGGTACCGCGTAAACTTGGAAACGCGGAATGTGGGACCGCGTAAAGCTAGGGTTGACTGTATAGTATTTACAATATACTATTCTAATCTCCAGTGAGCACTATTATGGTATGTGATGATGTTGTCAGTCTGTCTGTCTATCTGGCTGTCTTTGTTCTTGTTTCTTTAACTCTTTCACCACGTGTCACGCACTTGCCATTTTATTCTGGCTACCGCCAGGCCATTTTATTCAGCTTAGGGTAACCTCCCGCTGTGTAAGGGTTAAAACCTATCTCGATTAATGCCTCAAAGGCCATAAAACTTATCTACACTCAACCAATTGACATAATCACCAGCAAGTGGGGGTGTATATAGTGTGAAGGAATTTTGTATTAACCATTTTTATCAGAATTATGGGGCCCTTTTTTTTTTACTTATATGACAAGCTTCAACTTATAAAACTTAGAACTCTCATATTTCTGAACTGTCTTCTTGATTTTTGAACACTTGGTGACCTGTCCTGTTGCTTGGAGGTGTCAGGATCGCTTTCAGCTCTGTTATATAAATGTTCAGAATGTCGAGGTAAGTTGTATCGTATCAGCTAATACTAATGCCAAGTGTTTCAGTGGTATGCACAGTTGAAACAGAAGTTTGCAATTGATGTCACCAGGGATCCTAAAGTAATTTGTTGCTTTTATCCAGTGTCACTAGTGCTTCTAATAACTCCAGTTGTATCAATGCTGTATATAAAGAGCTTATCTACTGTACTGTACCTCACAAGTGTTGACAGTGACAGCAGGTGTCTCACATCTGTTGACAGTGATAACAGGTGTCTCACAAGTGTTGACAGTGACAGCAGGTGTCTCACATCTGTTGACAGTGATAACAGGTGTCTCACAAGTGTTGACAATGACAGCAGGTGTCTCACATCTGTTGACAGTGATAACAGGTGTCTCACAAGTGTTGACAGTGACAGCAGGTGTCTCACATCTGTTGACAGTGATAACAGGTGTCTCACAAGTGTTGACAATGACAGCAGGTGTCTCACATCTGTTGACAGTGTCTCACAAGTGTTGACAGTGACTTCAGGTGTCTCACAAGTGTTCACTGTCAACAAATGTCTCAAGTGTTATCAGTGACAACAGGTGTCTTAAGTGTTGACAGTGACAACAGGTGTCTCGAGTGTTGACAGTAGGTGTCTCAAGTGTTGATAGTGACAACAGGTGTCTCAAGTGTTGACAGTGACAACAGGTGTCTCAAGTGTTGACAGTGACAACAGGTGTCTCAAGTGTTGACAGGTACAACAGGTGTCTCAAGTGTTGACAGTGACAACAGGTGTCTCAAGTGTTGACAGTGACAACAGGTGTCTCGAGTGTTGACAGTGACAGCAGGTGTCATACAATTGTTGACAGTGACAACAGGTGCCTCACAAGTGTTGCTAGTGACTGCAGGTGTTTTACAAGTGCTGACAGTGACAACAGATGTCTCATGATTGTTGACAGTGACAACAGGTGTTTCACAACTGTTAATAGTGACAACAGGTGTCTTGCAACTGTTGACAGTGACTACAGGTGTCTCACAAGTGTTTAGTGACAACAGGTGCCTCACAAGTGTTGCTAGTGACTACAGGTGTTTTACAAGTGCTGACAGTGACAACAGATGTCTCATGATTGTTGACAGTGACAACAGGTGTTTCACAACTGTTAATAGTGACAACAGGTTTCTTGCAACTGTTTACAGTGACTACAGGTGTCTCACAACTGTTGACAGTGACTACAGGTGTCTCACAAGTGTTTAGTGACAACAGGTGCCTCACAAGTGTTGCTAGTGACTACAGGTGTTTTACAAGTGCTGACAGTGACAACAGATGTCTCATGATTGTTGACAGTGACAACAGGTGTTTCACAACTGTTAATAGTGACAACAGGTGTCTTGCAACTGTTGACAGTGATTAGAGGTGTCTCACAACTGTTGACAGTGACTACAGGTGTCTCACAAGTGTTTAGTGACAACAGGTGCCTCACAAGTGTTGCTAGTGACTACAGGTGTTTGAGAACTGTTGACAGTGACAACAGGTGTCTCACAAGTGTTTAGTGACTACAGGTGTCTGAACAAGTGTTGACAGT